CTGAAATTTACGTAACTTCTTTAAGGTTCCCTCAAATTGAAAATAAAACGAAATTCAGTTCTAACATTTTCAATAGAATCCTCAAAAATTTTCCTGAAGGTAATGGTACTGCCGGTAAATTTATCGAAACTACTTCTTCAATGTCTTAAAACTGTGCCACAAGTCTAGACTTTCCTGATGTTTAACGTGTTTGCCTGATGTTATTCAAACTGCCCGAAAGAGCTCTGAGCTTATGTAAAGTTCTCATTTTATAAAAGTTCCCATTACTCTTCTGAACAGTGATGGAAAAGAACGCAATAACTCACTTTTCCTTTGGTGCTTCTTCTTGTGCTTTAGCAGATTAGCTTATTGCGTGCTCTCAACTGAGTGTTCTAGATGCACTTCCACAGTTATTAATTGAAAACTTTCGATGCCATTTTGCCATTAGTATAATTGTGTGGCAAGTACAATCATACTCTATGCCCAGGGAAGCAGGTAAATTTTCCACTACGCAAAATTCCTAGACCGGACTGGGAATTGAACCCAGTCACCTCCAACTAGGTCTTGCTCTGTAGCTGCGGATCTTTGATGAGTTTCGTGAAATATCACGAACTTTCCCAACACTGCTTCTGAAGTTAATTAAATGGCTATGAAGTTCCTAGAAGTTCCCATAATTTTCCAAATGTTTCAAAAACTTCTTTGAAGCTCGGGTAACTTTTTCCTAATCTCCCGAACTACTATGGAATTTCCTGTAGTTCCCTAAATATACACACTTAAACATTGCTACCGACTTCCGTAATTTATTACCGAACTATAAACAGCTTTTGGTATAACTTTTACTCTTATTTCAACATTTATTTAATTAAATTTCCATTTCAAACCAATATCAGGTTTGATTATTCAAGTCTGGCCAGCGTGTTGTTCAGAATAAATAAAAAGCCTGAATATTTCAGAACATTCCTAAACTTCTCGGAATATTTCATAATTCCTTTGGACTCCTTGGAAGTTGCAATCTACCTGAAGTTAATGCTCTAAAAGTTCTTCGGACGTTTCCGGAGATTCATGGAGCTGTCTTGTGTTTATTGGTACTTACCATTATGCGTCTATAAACTTCTCAAAATATCTGGACTTTCCTAAAGCGCTATTAGGACTGCCCATGAGATCTCTGATCTTTTCTGAAGATCTAAAGCCGTAGCTTCTCTGCGGTTCTTGGAATTTGTTTAAAGTTTTCACAGTTTTCCTAAAGTCCTGCCATTTCTCTTAAGCTCATGGAACGGCCTTGAAGCTCTGGAAGCGTCTCTGAAGTGCCCAAAAATTCTAAAGATCTTATCAACCCTCTGTCCTCGGAACATCTTTTAATAAAAAATTGTTTTGCCCTTCCTTGATTTTTCGGAGTTTCTGTGACGTTTCCCATTTTTTATGAAGTTCTCTAAGTTTCCTCCATGCTATCTGGACTATCTCTCCTAGAACGTTCTCGCTGTTTTCCTGAATTTAATGGAACTGCCTTAAAATTCCAGAAATTTACGTGAAGCACTCGGAACTTCCCGGAAGTTCCTGCAATTTTCCTGATTTTTTTACGGAACTAGCCTTAAGTTCTGTCGTCTTTATTCATTTTTCACGAACAGCTATCAGAAAATCGCTTATCGTGACTCATTGACAAAAGGCCGTAAAAATATTCGAGCCCTTTAACCCATCAACGCCTGGTGATCAGTAATTATTGTCGAGAAACTTGAGCTCAATAGCAGTACATGTCTTCACTAATATTGCTCTATGGACCAATCTCTTGAAAATGGTAAACAATTTAGTTCAAAAATGACTCACTAGGTGGTGTTAGTGTTTGTAGAAAACTTCGTTTTATCAACTTTTGTAGAATAAAGTTCTCGTGATATGTGTTGGATAGAAGGATGCGGTCTTCAGCAATTTTGTTAAGATTACAAAGAACAACACTACAGTGCACAGTGATATGATATGGATATGATATGGAACTACCACTCACTGTAGCTAGACAACTGTCGGTAATCTGTGGACTATCCTCGCTGTTCAACTTGATCAAGTTTAATAATCTCTAATTATACTCAACCTGCCTTTGTATGAAGGCCTAAAACAGTTTGCCGTGAGCAACATCGCCCACCTGCATCCATGGTATAAATGAGTATCGTCTTCCAACCGGTCAAAAAACAGACCGTCCAACAGCAGGGTGTCCCAATGAGCGGGGCGAAGAGCCCACCCTCTTTTCACGAAATGTTAAAAACAGGGAGTTGGCATTTCCACTGTCCCCATCCATTTTGCTTCAATCGGGTGCCTTGGTGGACACTCCCGTACCCAGCATTAAATGTTTCACATAATAATGGAATGAAAGTTAAGAGAAAAATAAAGGAAAGATCTCACCCGATATGTTGCAAAGGAATCAATGACATCACGATGATTTCGAAGAGCTCCCATAGATGTGCTGCTGCTACCTCCGGTGTTAAAAACAGCACTCTCGCCTTTCATTCCTGACATAGCAGCGTCAATCCCCATCAACCACGAAACACAATCTAGCTGCTCCAACTAGAGGGATCTCAGCAGAGAAAAAAGGACTGCGTCCACTTACCATCACCAATCACTCACGACGCAACGGCTTCAGTTCACCAGTACAAAGTCTGTAAGGCCGAGTCAACTCGCGACCAACACCAAAATCAGAAGCGACAACTCCAACGAAAACAAACGCGTCTAATAGCAGCCACGGCACACTTCGATTGCATTTTTGAAACACAACCTCAAAGCACAAACACAACGACGACAACATTCGACAAGCACCTTTCACCCGGGAGGCGGAACGCCAGAATAGAAAAAAAAATGCACACACAGAGCACGGCACGAGCTTAACTGCTAAGAGCACCGTCATGGGAGTCCACATACGAGTCCCTATGTCTATTTCCGAGCCCCATATAGCAACTTTTTCTTCCGACTGTTTCATCTTAGTATTGTTCTTTGATGATACTGCTTGTTGTCAGACTAAGGCCGCGGTCAGGGTAGACGCGACACGCGACGCGACGCGATGCGACTCACGCAAGGAATAATAATAAATAATAAGATTCTTTTGAATTGGTCGCGTCGCGTCTACCCTGGCCGTACCCTAAGGTGGCGGCCAGGGTAGACGCACAACGCGATGCGACGCTATACTACTCACGCAAGAAATAATAATAAAAAATAAGTTTCTTTTTTTATGAATTGATTTATTTATACAGGCTTAATCGAATAAACTTTACAGAGCCAAGTTATCATTTTCGTTAAACATACTTAATACTAATCTTAAAACTAGAGTTACAGGGATTGAACCGTATACTCGCGGTCAAGATTCTTTTGAATTGGTCCACCCTGGCCACCACCTACGACAAAGAAAATGGCTACAAATTATTATCACCATAAAATATCCGCCATTATATGTACTTACAACACGAAATTGTCTCACGAAAATAGACAACAGCACATTGCAATGCTACCATATTATGCACCATTATGAGTGAGGTACTCATCTATATTTTCAATGTTAAAATCACTTAGGGTTTACGTGAAATGCATATAGAATCTGTTTATGGCCAAATCACGTACGTTTGATTAAAAAAACCTAGTGGCTTTAAAGGGAATTCCCATTTATATGTACATAAGTGGTATCACGTAGACTCTACTTGTGTCATGTAAATTTGACATAAATAAGTGAAAAGAGAGACTCCACGTGATTTTTTACGTAACAATAACGTGTCTATTATTTTGAGTGTAGAGTTCTGGTGGACGCACCTAGGCACAAAAGAATTGGTAAATTCCATCCGGCGTCAACTTGAGGGTTAAGCTTCTTGTTAACGATTGAAAATTTCTCAAATATTGTTTCTTGTGTCCTTCCATCTAAATTTTTAAATCAAGCCCGCTCCCCTATAAAGTAACACCTAAGGGGAGACATCTGCAAATGTAATCGCACTTATATATAATAGTTCCAGTGCTCCAAAATTGCCGAAATTTTAAATGTGGGTTCCATTTAATTCGTAGCTTGAAGCAAATACCAAAATTTCAAGCAATTCTGAAACCACTACAATCATTGTTGCTATACTTTTCTTTTTTTTCTCAATAGAAAATAAATACGGTTTAACTGTGGTTACAACGCCCCAGCAGAAAATAGGCAATCAATTCCTGGTAATGTGATCGACATAATGCCATGAATGCCTCACATGCATTCGCGCTAAGCGATCGCAATCCGGTACATCACAAACGGATGCACTTGATGCCAGCAGCAGCTTCCCCCATTTGGTCGATCAAAAGCGATCACTTTCACACATCATTCCTCACCTGCCGACGCCGAAAAGCCCTCTTCTTACCCCCCACAAGCACCGGTTATAACAACCAATCCAAACATCATCAACTACCTACCTTCTACAAGATAACCAATGACCCTAACAACTCACAGAGTCCTCAGCACGGTAGTGTCCACTTTCGGTTTCTTCCCTTGGTGTTGTTGTTGTTGTTGTTGTACACCAGCCCTTCACAATCAAGTGTGCGCGGTTCGCATTGCTTTGAAGTGACACATCTCCCAGGTGATGGTGGTGGTGGTGGTGGTGGGTCGCAGGGCGATAACAGATGTCGACGGTGCGTTGTTTATGGGATAAAGAAAACGAAAACCGGGGCCACCACTTGCCGAGAAGTTGGGAAAAAATGGCAAAAATTGGAAAGCGCATCTCGCAAACATCGACCGCGCGCGCACGGAGATGTCATTCACTTGACTACTTAGCCTTAGCGGTAGCCCGAGCAGCTGCAAACAAGAATGCCAGTCGACCAGTCTATCACCATTTTTATAGAAAATTAGAAAACCGATCGCGCCCGGATGTGGGGATTGTGCGATTTTCCTCGGAAAAATGTCTCAACCTCATCCCATCGATCGAAAGTGACATAATTTCACTTTTCCGTCCATCTGTCCGTCTCCGCTGCGGAGTTGGTTGATTGACAAGTTTACTAATCGTGTGTCTTTTTCTTTCTTTTCTGCGAACCAGATAACGGTGGCCGACGATCAGGTGGAGGTGGTCAAAGCCATCAGTCCCGGCGATGAGGTGGAGAAGCGGGAGAACGATTCGGACCAGGTGGCACTGGAGTCGGTCGATTCGGACCACCAGGGATCGTCGTCGGTGCATTCGTTTCCGCAGCACATCCCGCTGTCGATAGGGCACGGGCCGGGACCGCAGCCGCATGGACCGGGCCCGGCTGGCCAGCACGGACCGATCCATGGCCATGGACCGAGTAGGGGTAAGTTCATTAAAGCAACATGCTTTTTCAAAATGTCGTGAGAGTCTCCATATCCAATCATGAAGCAGAAGGACTTTAAACTATGCCGGAAGTTTTGTTCCAATTGAATCCGGAAAGCGTCAACGAAAAGATGCTACTGATTATGAGATTATTGTACCGTATTTTGGGATCTTGGAAATAGAGAAGACAACCACGAATACTTTTTAAAACTTATATTGTTATCGGTTATCATAGTCGAACCGACTAAAACGAATAAAACGATTACCGATAAAAAAAAACGATACCATATACATACATTTGATAACTGAATGGCAGTGATGCCAGAAAGTATTTTGATCGAGCGTAAATAGTTTTACATACACATCATTTCTTCCCTCCTTTCGGAATGAATCGTCTACGGAGAGTACTTGCGGGGAGGGTGGCGTTCTCTTGTTGAACGACGCACGATGAATGGAGAAGAAGAACCGGGCTACCAGATGGCGTATGGAACTCTGGATAAGCTGGTTCAGCAGGAAACCCTCTAGGGTTCACGGGAGTTGATGGTACTCTAGGAACTGCAACACCGTTGTCGTCGTGGTACGTCCGGCTGACTTGACTCGTCCGCTTCGGATGCTTCGACCATTCGGTGATCGTTCGTACCGAGCCTCGAACGAATTTGATCGACGTGACACTTGAACCGTTTTCCAACGTAGTCGATTTCGTAGTGGAGATCTCCAAGTCGAGCTGCAATCACACCAGGAATCCACTTGTCCACACGGGAATTACCGGAGAGGAAATAGATCTGTTGTCCCGAAAGGATCGGTCAAAATTGGCTTGTTGCTTTGTCGTGACTCGCAGGTGAACGGTTTCAGGCTTGAGGAGATCTAAACGTGTTCTGAGTTTCCGTCCAAGGAACAATTTGGACGGCAATTCTCCGGTGGTTGCATGTGGAGCTAAGCGATACTGCTGCAAGAAATCATTCAGGTTTGAATGCAACGTCGACACTGTGATTCCCGTTGCCTTCAATGCATCCTTCGTCGTCTGAACGTACCGTTCGGCTTGGCCGTTCGTTGCAGGATGGTAGGGTGCCGATAGCTTATGGTACTTGACTCCACTTTTCTGCCAAAAACACTTTGAACTCCGCAGCCGTGAATTGCGGACCGTCCAGCGAGTCCTTTCATTTTCACAATACCAATGTGTGCTCCGTGGATATCCTCTGATACTGACGTACGGAGAACGAACGGTACAACCATAGAGGTAACTCTAAGACCAGAAGGTCCCAAAGAAACCTGCTCAACTTTATGGCTCAGCTCTGGTACTCGTTTCGGTCCCAAGCTAATCGATGCACTCCTCGAAACATAGGAAAATCTACGAATCCTTCATTTTATCTGTCGAACATTCATAGCGAATCAAAACAAACATAGTGTAGTACTAGAATTTTGACAAGAATGGGGTACGTTAATAAATTTGCTTGGGACCAATAGGCTAGTCAAGTAGTGAGCCAATTTTAAATCGTCATTTTCCAACCGGTGGTATAACCACTCGATGCTCAAATAGTAAACAGTTTGCAGCAAGCGAGTATTTTGCCTCCGGTGCTTTGTAGCCAGATCGTGACAGATAGGTGCCGGCTTCCAACAGTTGAACGATCTTGCCAAGACTAGGATCCTTGCGCTTGCGTTTCACGAAAAGACAGTTTGTTTACTACGCTGCTCGCTGGTGTTCGTGTGATTCGAGAGCAGTAGTCTGCATTGACGTTTTCTTTCGTTGATTTCGCTTGCGTTCGTGGCCAAAATCAAAGGAAGTTCTGGATCCTACTGCATCAGCACCTGCGGAGAGATGAGGGCTGATTTGATGTCTCTTCGTAAGCGCAGGTTTCCACTCAAAAGGTTCCCCTAGCAACATGTCACGCAGACAGCGAGATCGTGTGGAGATATTGGGAATGAAAGCGTTGTAGCGTTGGCTTCGATGTGTTGGTCCGATTTGTTCAACCCGTTTGTATCGATTTTATGACCCAGGCATTCAAGTACCGGGGTGGCGAAGACACTTTCGAGCGATTTAGACGTAAACCGTGGTGCTTCATTCTGTTGAATACTGCTGTGAGGACTACCAGCACTGTTTTCATTCGACGCTGCCAGATCGCAGGGATGTTTGCTGCTCCGTAGACCGCTCTAGTCGGACAAACCAACCCATGTGTTGGTGTGTTAAGCGTGAGAACTTGTAGAAACTCTATGTCGATTGGGAAGTGGGTGTAACCATCCGTCAGCTCCAGGTGACAGAAGATACTGACTCCTTTCATTTGGTGGAAGATGGACTCGATATTGGGAATCGAGTGTTCGTCGATGATCATCCGGGGATTTACCGTTGGCTTGTAACTACCGGAGATGCGTAGCTTTCCATTCTTCTTCACAACGATGTGGGTGGGGGACGCCCATTCGGAGTAGTCGATTCTCTCGTACACACCTGCTGCAAGCTTCTTGCTGATTTCTTGGGCATACTGGCTCTTCAATGCCAGTGGTACGTCTCGAGCTTTGGCGAAAACTGGAACTGCTCCCGGCTTCAGATGCACGGATGCGGGTGGACCAACTAGCATACCAGGAGTGTCACTAAAAACGTGTCACCGGACACGACGTACAAATCAGGTTTGCGAGTAGTCGTCACTGGAAGATGACCCAAACATTGAATGCGATGCCCAGTGTAACTGGAGAATTGTCAGTCTGTTCGCAGCAGTGCAAACGATGGTTTGATCGCACGTAATTTGGCTTCAATGATTATTCCACACGGTGCTCCGGTGGCCACTTCCATTTCCAACCCATGTCCGTCGATGGTTACTGTGTGGCATATATAAGCGCTAGTGTAAGCAGGTCTTAACTTGATGCTTATGAGTCAGCAAGCCGTGTACCATCCGTTGTAAGCGCAACAGTTCAATGCCGGTAAACGGAGGTTTCTATGGAAACGCTTCATCACATTCGGGCAATTCTCCACACACTTTCGGACCAGCTCTTCACAAAGTAAGCCGCACAGTTACGTTGATGACTCGCTTTCCAGACGTGATGACGGAATAAATTTTGCTCAGAGACTGAACGATATCTACTTGCGAAGCTGGTTGCTCTTCCGATTGCACTTCGGAGGTGGATTGGTCCTGGGATTTCTGCCTTCCGGATTTGCAGACTTTGGAGATGTGGCCCTTGCTTTCGCCACCACATCCACTACACACACTCTGCTCATGTGTTTGTTTGTTTTACACTTTTGTTTGTGTTGCCTTTGTTGATGTAACGAGGAGAAGCTGCTAGGGTTGACTCTTCGCGTCTTCGGCCGCCTCTGGAATCAACGATGCTCTTGCCGTTCACACCTCCTTGGCCGTGTTGCGGGTGGTTTCGAGTGTATGTGATAATCTCGTTACACATCAGCATCCTATCGAGGAATTCTCCATATTCGCAATATGTAGCACCTTGTTTGAGCCGGAGAACAAAACTGGAAACTGATTCGCCCTTCTGCTGCACTATTTCCCGGAACTTGATGCTCTCAACGTACTTGTCCCTTGCCTGGTCAAAGTGGCCCACTAATGCAGTACGGAGCTCCACGTACGGGATATCTGCCGGATCACGGGGACTCACCAGGAACTTGATGGCGTTGTTCAGCTCCGTACACATATGCCCATTCAAATCGGTTGAAATAATCCGAGACAGATGTGCTTTCCGAAGAACGAGACTCGGAGACGAAAAACGAGGGTTTCTTAACGGATGGCGCTGCCGGGGTTTCAGTTGGTTACAGTGCCTTCAACTGTTTCTGCCTCCATGGTAATTGGTACAGGTAGAACACAGATTTTCGACACCGATCGCTTACAGAAACCGCTAGCCGTCCCCGGGGTGACGGCCGTCCGATCCTGGATGAGTTTCCTCAATGCGTCCCATCCTCCATCGAATAGGGGGGTGTTGTCGGCTCGGATAACAACCAAGCTGCCGACAGTGACGTCGGCAGGTGGCTGCCACCATTTAGTGCGGACCTGAAGCTGAGTAAGGTATTCAGACCTCCACCTTTTCCAAAAATCTTGAAGTCGTCGTTGGGTGGCCTCCAGATCTTGCAATTTCCCGCACGATACCTGGGTAAAATCTTCATCCGGTAGCGCTTGTAAGGCAGAGCCTACCAAAAAATGTCCTGGGGTCAATGGTTGTAGGTCCCCGGGATCGTCGGATAGCTGTGTCAAAGGCCTGGAATTAAGGCAGCACTTCACTTGAGTTAGAAGCGTTACCATATCCTCGTAGGAAACCACTGTATCTCCAAGCACACGTAACAGATGTACCTTCGCCGATCGCACCGCGGCTTCCCACAACCCACCAAAGTGAGGCCCGCCGGGAGGGATAACCTTCTTCAACGCCAGTCCCTTGCTATGGCTTCGTGATGTACCTTGGTTTTCAATTTCCGTATAAGCTTCATCATCTGGTTCTTTGCACCAACGAAGTTGGTGCCAATATCCGAATAGAGGCTGGTACACCTCCCACGTCGCAACACAAACCTCCGTAATGCCTGCATAAATCGCGCCGTCGACAAATCGGTAACCAGTTCTAAGTGTACCGCCTTTGTCGAAAAACACACGAAGACTGACACGTAGGCCTTTACCGCTCGCTGCCGATAGCCCATCCGTACATATACTGGACCGAAGTAGTCCACACCTGTTGTTGCAAACGGCCTTGTTGGTGATACTCTAGTTACGGGTAGCTCCGCCATGAACTGTCGAATAGCCTTTGGCTTCGTGCGATAGCATCGCACACACTGATGGTAAACCGCTCTCGCTAAATTTCAACCTCCGTTGAATCCGGATCCAAATGGATTCCATCCGCCGTTTGTATTGCTCGACTTTCGTCAAGTAGGTCTTCCAAGACTGGTTCACAATTTGAGGCAAACTTCCGCAGTTCAAATCCACCTCTCCGCAACATCTCCTGCATCTGGATCCTTAGCTCTTTGGTGGTAGCCGGGTCAGCCGCTCCCGTAACGGCATCGTCCACATAAAAGTCTTCCTTTACGGCTTTAGCGGCTAATGGGAATCTGTCAGCTTCATCAGTTGCAAGTTGTAGTAACGTCCTGGTAGCCAGGAAAGGAGCAGGTTTTGTACCATAGGTTACGGTACATAGTTCGTATGTAGCAATGGGTTTGTCTGAGCTTGGCCTAAACAATAGGGCAGACACCGACTAACATAATTTGACAAGTGAGGCTTCGCAATATAATGGAACGAATTTCATCCTGAATAACGGGACCTGCGAGCAGCCCATCGTTGAGGGAAAATCCTGACGTCGTTTGTGCTCAAGCATCAAACACTTTTGCAACTGCAACAAATGCCGTGAACACGTTTTCATAGACGTAATTTTGTTTTTGAGCGAATAAACTGCTTTTGATTTTTTGATAGTTAATTACGTCTTTTCACCGAACTTTTTTAAACTTCCACGATCCCATATTGGAATAAGAAATCAAGATTTTAGACTTTGAGAAACTGTCAAAGGTTTAAAGACTTGGATGAACCTACAGGAAGAATTGCATAGAGAAATTCAATTTAAAATCGAATAATACCGAGGGTATCCTGAACAGAGTTTTTAGGCAGTTCTGGAAAGTATTCCTAAGATCGCAGTAGGCTGCGCTTGAAAACTGACGTGTCTTTCTTTTGCTGTGTATTTTTCGTCAGTGAATCAAACATGTTTTGCTTCAATTTGTTAATTTGTGTGCTGAAAATTAGTTTCAAGTGTTCATAAAGTTTTCATTTAGTGATATATCTTGTTTGCCTGTGTTTGCTTTTAATCTAACCTCCAAAATCTACGACGCAGCATCAGTTTCATTGTTCGTTGTCGATTTTCATTGCCTCCCGGGAGCTCTAAGTTCTTCGTCACCATGGGCGAGTTTGAACCCGGTCCGGTTGGTTAATAAGCCCGGGAACGTGCTGATAACGTGTCCGTCGCGAGTTTTGGTGGTGATTCGGTGGCTGACGTTGCCGTTAATCAGTAAGTTTTTTGCTTTCAAAAGTGCAAGGCTGCTGGTCTCTCGCCGGTGTCGGAGATTGCGTGCAATATGAAAGATGCCTGACTGGATACGCCCAAGACTGGACGGGTGGTAGCTGGTGGACGCGAAAGGTTCCTGGGGAAAGCACTAGACGTGAACCCATGGCCATGGCAATGCAAGACAATTTGTGTTCGTTGAAGTAATTATTACGACAAAGGTGAATCACGAAATGAGATGCAAAACAAGGATCAAATTAACATGGTGAGACCAGTCCAAATACTTTTTATAATTAAAAAAAAAAAACAAAAAACTAAAGTGCCAGGATTCAACAGAACATTATGAAACTGGAAGTGTGGGCGTAATACTAATATCCAATTTATAGAGGTAATGCATACATGCGGGGCTTATTGTAAGTGAAAGTAACCTCGGAATGGGCGTGACTCTCCAGACATTCTAAAATGGGTTGCTGGATCTGCAATAGAGCTATCACTTCCTAACTCCCGGACTAAAGCTGTCTACAATTACCTTAAATGCGACATTGTAGAGAAAGTTCTTCCATAATAACACTGCCGACCAGTGGGGTAAGAGGGAATACACACACACACTTCTAGAAAGCATACCTAAGAAATTTATAGAAGAATTCCAGGGTAATTCTGAAAATAATTCCAAGGGCAACTTCTGGTAAATCCAATGGAAAGTTATGAGGTAGCTATGAGCAGAATTCATGGTCAAAAGGAAATGCCCTGAAGAATTTTAACCAAATTCCAAAGAATGCATTCATTGAGAATGCAAAGGAACGCTGTGGAGAGTTCAAAATAAATTTTAATAGAATTCCAAGGGAAACTGGATCCAAAACTATTTCCAACATTATTATAGGAAGAATTTTAGTTATTCAGTAAACTACAAGGGGCAGATTACTTGGGAAATGCTGAGCTGAATTTATTGGGAGTAGTGGTTAGTAGTTTTGAGTAGAATTCCATGGTAGTTCCGAACTCCTGAGGAGAGTTTCAATGAAATTCTGACAACAACACCAAAGTAATCCTAACAATAATCGCAAGAGAATTCTGATTAAGTAGTTAAAGGAAATCGGAATATCATGCTATGTCCAAAGCATTTCCAATTCTGATCATATTTTCTAGGGAATTCAATGAAGAATAGCCTTGAACTTCTTAAAACATTCAAGGAGTATGTGGGGAGAATGTTTAATGATTGCAGAGGAGAAATCTTAGGCAATTTACAGGAGAACTCCGAAGACATCCAAGGTAATTTTAAGAAAAAATCCAATGCATGGTTATCCATCTGCTGAGTATTATTCCAAGGGAATATTACAGCGGATTATGGAGAAAAGTTAAGTATTGGTCAATTTTCAATTGGCCAATTTTTAAGCAGTCAATTTGTAATTCATCAATTCACATTCATTTATATCCAATTGGTGAACCAATGGAATTCAATTGGTAAATTTTCAATGAGTCAATTTTCAATTGGTCACTTTTCAGTTTGGTTAATTTTGAATTGGTCGAATTTTCAATTGGTCGATTTTCAATTGGCCGATTTTCAATTGGTCGATTTTCAATTGGTCGATTTTCAATTGGTCGATTTTCAATTGGTCGATTTTCAATTGGCCAATTTTTAATTGGTCCATTTTCAATTGGTCAATTTCCAATTGGTCAATTTTCAATTGGTCATTTTTCAATTGGTCAATTTTAATTTGGTCAATTTCAAATCTGTCCTATTTTCTATAGGTCCATTTTCAATTGATCAATTTTCAATTGGTCAATTTTCAATTGGTCAATTTTCAATTGGTCAATTTTCAATTCGTCAATTTTCAATTGGTCAATTTTCTGTTGGTCAATTTTCTATTGGTCAATTTTCAATTGGTCAATTTTCAATTGGTCAATTTTCAATTGGTCAATTTTCAATTGGTCAATTTTCAATTGGTCAATTTTCAATTGGTCGGTTTTCAATTGGTCGGTTTTCAATTGGTCATTTTCAATTGGTCAATTTTCAATTGGTCAATTTTCAATTGGTCAATTTTCAATACGTCAATTTTCAATACGTCAATTTTCGATACGTCAATTTTCAGTACGTCAATTTTCAATTGGTCAATTTTCAATTGGTCAATGTTCAATTGGTCAATTTACAATTGGTCAATTTTCAATTGGTCAATTTTCAATTGGTCAATTTTGAAATGGTCAATTTTCAATTGGTCAATTCTCAGTTGGTCAATTCTCAATTGGTCAATTTTCAATTGGCCAATTTTCAATTGGTCAATTTTCAATTGGTCAATTTTCAATTGGTCAATTTTCAATTGGTCAATTTTCAATTCGTCAATTTTCAATTGGTCAATTTTCAATTGGTCAATTTTCAATTGGTCAATTTTCAATTCGCAAATTTTCGATTGGTCAATTTTAAATTGGTTGATTTTCTTTTGGTCGATTTTCAATTTGTCAATTTTCGATTGGTCAATTTTCAAAAGGTCAATTTTCAAAAGGTCAATTTTCAATTGGTTAATACTAAAATGATCAATTTTCAATTAGGTAAATTTTCTAACGGTCAATTTTGAACTGGTCAATTTTCAATTGGTCAACTTTTAAATAGTCATCCACCTTCATTCAATCACAATCTAACCGCTCTTTTCCTCCCCTCCACCCCACAGGTTCCCCTCACGGTCACGGTCAACTGTACGGTCCTCCACCACCTCAACAGCAGCTGCCGGCGGCTCACGCCTACCACGGGCCACCACCTCCGCTGCCTCCGCAACAGAAGCTGCAGCAGAACGATCTGGGTCCGGAGAAGCTCTACGGTGCTCCCCTCGGCGGGAACGACCTGTGGTCTTCACCGCTCCAGGACATGCCCAAGATCGTTTCACTGGACGTGAAATGTGAAAAGCAGGGCATGAAAGTGTTCGTCCAGTTCGATAAACCATTCTTCGGAATCATCTTCTCCAAGGGGCATTACAGCAATATCAATTGCGTTCACTTGCCAGCAGGGCTGGGCAAGAGTTCGGCTACTTTCGATATCGGAATACACGCGTGTGGAACGGCTGGCAACACGGATCAGGCGTTGTACAACGGGTACTCGGGAACGGAATCGGGATCGGGATCTTACTTTGAGAATATAATTGTGCTACAGTACGATCCTCAGGTGCAGGAAGTTTGGGATCAGGCCAGAAAGCTGCGCTGTACGTGGCACGATCAGTACGAGAAGAGCGTGACGTTCCGGCCGTTCCCCGTGGATATGTTGGACGTGATTCGGGCGGACTTTGCCGGAGATAATGTGGGCTGCTGGATGCAGATTCAGGTCGGAAAGGGACCATGGGCTTCGGAGGTCTCCGGATTGGTGAAGATCGGACAGACAATGACGATGGTGCTGGCGATCAAGGACGATGATAGCAAGTTCGACATGCTGGTGAGGAACTGTATGGCTCACGATGGTAAGCGTGCTCCGATTCAGTTGGTGGATCAACGAGGCTGCGTCACCCGACCGAAGTTGATGTCTCGGTTTACAAAGATCAAGAACTTCGGAGCAAGCGCTTCGGTGCTGTCGTATGCTCACTTCCAAGCATTTAAGTTCCCCGATTCGATGGAGGTTCACTTCCAATGCACGATTCAGATCTGTCGCTACCAGTGTCCGGAGCAGTGTACCGATCCTGGTATTCTGGATGTTCATCACTTGTCCGGAGGACCGGAACATCAGCAGTACGGACCGCCACCACCACCACAGTCGCTGGATGCCCATGTGTTCGCCAACCGGAAGCGGGACGATCGTCGCATCCGTCGAACTCGTGCCGCTGGCGATCAGGAAGAGAAGGAAGATGTCGGAATGAAGCGTATCATCCGGGTTGTGTCACCGGGAGATTTGACATTCCCGATCGGTAGCCAGAACAGTACCAACGACTCCACCATGATATTCCCGGCTCGCGAAGAGGGTCTGATCTGCATGACGACTCCGGGATTCACGGTAACGATCGTTATCCTGCTGTCGATCCTACTGGCCTCGTGTGTGACGTCCGCGTTCCTGTGCATACGGCTGAAGCCGTTTTCGTTCTCATCGAGGAAAGAACGAGCGGTTTCGTTCACCAATCCACACCTGAGCCCGTCGACGGCCTCGATCGTATCCAGCGGACCCAGCTCGATGGTCAGCGGTACGCTCAAGTCCACCAAGTCAGTCAAATCGAGGAATTTCTACTCGTAGAAGACTGATCGCATGGTACATCTACGTAAGCACACACTCACAAGCACACAGAAACACAATAGTTGACATATGAAGCTAACACATACACGTATACAAACACAGTAATGCACATAACTCTAATCTGTAAGTACAAGGTTCTCAGTGTTGAACGCAACTCCTCCATCTAATCACAAGTCACAAGGAAAAATAGACAAGACAAAAACAAACAAACAATAAACTCTGAACGAATGTCGGTGCTTTTAGGTTGTTAATATGAAATTCTGGAGCTGAGCTGGTAGAAGTTATTAACAAATACAAGCTAGAGAAAACAAAACGAAATGTTAGTAGACAATCAGTACTTTACTCTATTTATTCTAGATAGAAAATTTAGTCAATGCCAGCCGGAACGCGCAAGTGACAGTTGTTTTCGTTAAGTTTCTGTTTTGACGCAACGTGCTTCGTTGAATGTTGTAGTGTTGTTATTGTTGATGTTTGAAAAAGAAAAAGAAGAAAAAACACGCAAAGAACGCTAGTAAGAACAAAGTTCATCCAGGCGCAGGCGAAACGAGAAATCCAGTAGTAGGCTAGGGGTTAAGTTTGCTAAGCGAATGTCTGACAGGCGGGAGGCTTTCTTTCTGTCATTCGCGGTCGCTTGACATATGAGGAATTTCACCCCGCGAAGGACGCCGCGGGGCAGAAAGAAAGTGCCGGCCTCCAGAAATGGGTCGCCATATTTATTTTTAATTAACTTTTAAAGAACACACGTTTAGTAGCGGAGCACTCGTCTCTTGATTTTTCGTTTTTATTTTTATTTATGTTTGCTAAAGTACTTTTTAATGTAGGGTGTCTTCTTCCGTGTATTTCTTCCATTTACTCACACAACCAATTCCAATGGTTCCACTTTGCGACCCCCCGCTCTCCCCATGGAAACCGAACCCACGTGTCAACCGTGGGTTGCTTCGATCGGGAGAAACTGGTCATATTTAAATACCTTCCAAGACATCTTCTCTATCTCAGGTTGCTGCTCGATTTGCTGGCAGCGAAAGGTTCTGTTTTGGGACTCCGTAAACAAATAAAAGTAAAAAAAAATCGGAAATCAAACACTCACTCAAACCCACCTCCCCACCACCACCATCAACGTCATCACATTGTGGAACCATTGAAAGCGAGAAATGCAACTTGCTCTGTAGCATTAAAACAAAGCGCGCGAGCGCACGAGTATACTCTAATCTTCCCCCTCTCTCCTCGTATTTATTTACTTAACTTATTTTAAACCATAATCACAAACATACGCCACTTATTTATCGAGCTAGCTCAAAACTGACATTACTTATATCGCTCTGTTCACTATTACTTTAACGCTAAACGCCGAGGCACGCGGTCATATTTTAAAAATGTGACCCGTCTTCGGGAGTAAACACTATCACCTCTGTCCCCTTAACCCACTAACCTCGAACCTGAATGATCCCTCATGTTGGAAAAAAAATAGGAGTTCAAAATCTATGCCTTCGCAATACCCTCTCCCCACTCACCTGTCTACATTTAAGTGAAAATTGATATTTATTTGATAGTTGTTAAGGTCCGATTTAATCATTTAAACACACAGCATAAAGAACTATGAGCTATTAATTTAGTGACATTGTTTTTCCATTCCAGCTTCGAGTTGAAGTGTTTCTTTAATAGAAATATATAAGCAATTATATATTTGAGCGAGTAAAATGTATCATATTTATACTCTACAATCGTGCTAGCTAACTAGGACTTAAGTAACTTATTCTCTAGCTAATTAATGTGAAACGATATCCCCTGAATCCCCATGAAATCCCTGAACGTCCCTCAATAGCCCCCAGTGAAATAAATGATAACTTAATAAATGTATTTGATGGATATCCGTGAAACGATTGTGCTGAATTTATCTGAGCAATAAAGATTATTTTAAACAGAACAGAAGGGACCTACAGTGTAGCATGATGATATCACCAACCAACTTTCCACCCCCTGAATTCTTTTTCCGGGTAAGTTTCCACTAAGTTTCATCTAGAGGGAAGGTAATGTTATGGTGAAATTTAATGGACAAGTTTAAAATGAATCTACATGTCTGCTGCAGAAAAGCATTGATACACGCAGGCTTATCGCATATTAGCTTATTGAGTTCTCAAAATTTAGTGTTCTAGATGCACTTCCACAGTTATTGTCACAGAGCTTTCTACGCCTGTACCACTTTTGCATTAGTATAATTGTATGGCAAGTACAATCATACTCTATGTCCAGGGAAGTCAAGAAATTTTCCAACCCAAAAAATTCCTAGACCGGACCGGGAATCGAACCCAGTCACCTCCAGCATGGTCTTGCTTTGTAGTTGCGACTTTACCGACTGAGCTAAGGGAGGCTAAATTCACTCCGCACAGTGTGCCAAAAACTAGCTTGAGCACACCTGGGCACATTCATTGGCACTTTTTGGCACCCATGGTTACAATTTTTCTGATCTGATGAACGAGTAATGTATTTGGAAACGATGACAATAAAGCTAGCGACAAACAGACTGACACCGTTTGATGTTTGGTCAACAGATACGTCGAGATGTGTGTCAGTCCACTAAAGATCAGTGCTGAAAAGACGTAAATCAAGCTGAACGTTGCATTAGGTCCTAAGTAGCATTGATCGATTCTCTTCATCGACTTTCTCTTTCGTTAATAACTTGGGTATAGAACCGTTTTTTGTCATATTTGTCGTATTAAAAGATAGATAATAGCTTCTTTCGTCGATCTGTGAGCTGAACATAGATATGAATGTCTTAACATGGTCGTGAGGATGCAAAGAGAAAGTCACCGAAGAGAATCTGTTATTGTTACTTAGAGCCTAATGCAATGTTCAGCTTTAAATGTCCCCAATACAGCCAATGGATACCACCAGAGGTGATAATCAATCCATAATAGATGGTTCCACCAATGATATGCCCCAGTGGATACCGACTCGTCTAACCACGTCAGAAACTTACACTCAAAAAATTCCACACGTCATCATCATGTGTCTCACACTTAATTTTGCGCTTATTGTGAAACACATCCATTTCATGTGTGAATCTTATGGATTTGAATTGTGACAAACTTGGATTCTATGTGTCTCATATGGTGATATCAATAGCTTTGTACATCATAGTTCAATATTCTACAATATTCTACTTTATCGACTTCTACTGTACCGACTCTAAAAATGAATCGACAAATATATAAACAAAACTGTCAGAAGCCAGAGCTTTCACATATCTTTTTAATGGGTCTGATTTGGGATTCGAGCATGGACTGTTGGGTTGGGATGTGCAGCTGCCGGAGTCTTCGTTCGATCTAACTGTACCACGGTTGTTCTCATATATGAGGTGGGTTGATAGGATAAAGCCACTCTATCAAGACATACGTGAGGGCTAGATCTCCACACCTTGTATAGACCAGGTTGGGGCGAGTCGATCTACCGTGCGCCACTCTATATTGTGTACACTCTTTGTCTACTTACCGAAATCCAACAGAGAGCGAGAAAGCAGAAGCATCATTACTTGAGCGAGTGTCCAACAGGTAAGACGCGTCCGGGTCAAGGATGCAAACTAACGGAATGGATGGTTATCTGATGGCTGATCGCATCTTCACAGAACCTGATCTCATAAATGTCGTGGATGGAGTAAATTAATTCCACTCTCAAACAGAAATCAAGCTGAACATTGCATTAGGTCCTACGTAACATTGATCGATTCTCTTCGGCTTGAAATAGCTATTAATATAAAAAAGCGTGTATAGCAAAAATCAGCAAGCCGAGAAAAATGCGCTTTAAGTTTGCTTTGTGTAATGTTTTTAGATTATTTTAAGAGTGCATTTAGGTGATCGAAGTTAGCCTTCGATTTCACAGGTCAAATGTCGACAACGGTATCACCAAAACATGTGAACACAGGGCACAGGCACTGGCTTTTTAACCAAAAGTAAGTTAGTTGTACCCAACAGTAGGTAAATATGATGATACTCAACGTTGGGTTCCCACACTTTACTACCCCAGTTGGGTGGTTTTGCTCCTCCGTTTTTGACAACATTAGAAGGAGAAAAGAAGACAAACTAGTCACAAGTAGGTAAAAGTGACTTTTCCGTTGGGTACTTTTTTCTTACCGTGTAGAATAGGAAATGTTAATCGATTTGCTTGGGACCAATAGGCTAGTCAAGCAGTGAGCCAATTTAAAATCGTTAATTTCGTATTGATTGTTGGTTTTACTGTAACATTTACTTATTTAACGTATTTTTCCGGAGAGTACGGTAAGTCTTCTTCTACTCAATGAGGATGTTGGTTTGCGTGGGCGAGCCTTGAATTTCTAGAAATCATCGATAGAAGTCATTGTTTACAAAAGCTGTTAGGCCCTAATTCCAGCTCTATCTAGAGTTGTGTTCAAAATAATAGCAGTGGTTAGATAAACAAATAAAAAGTAGAATACTTCCAAGTTTATGCATTATTCCGAAATTTATTTCAAAGTCCACAATTACAAGAAGTTTTAAAACACTGACACAGGGTTTCATTTTAAATAACTCATTTATTTGTTATCAGAATTTTAGTATATTCAAAATAGTCATTGTTAAAAAAATAGCTAGCAGTATATCAATTCAACACTAGAAAACCATAAATACAACAATAAAAGGTTATCAACTTCTTTCAACTTACGAATACACTTCAGTACTTTGTAGCATAACCGTTGTTTTTTTTTTATAACGGCCACGCATCGTTTCTGTATTGAATCCACAAGTGCTTGACATCGAGAGACAGGTATTGCGGCCCAGGAATCGCGAACTACCGACCACAACTCTTTCATATTTTTGACATGGCTTCAGAAACTGCGTATTTGACATCTCCCCATAGGTTTTTCAATTGGATTGAGGTCAGGAGATTGCGCTGGCCACTCCATAACCACAATCTTCTTCGCTTGAAACCATGTCTTAGCACGTTTACTTGTGTGTTTTGGATCGTTGTCCTGCTGGAATACCCATTTCAGCGGCAACTCTTCCTCAGCATAAAGCAGCATTACTTCATCAAGGATTTTGATGTACCCATGTTGATCCATAATGCCAGGTATACGATCTACCGGTCCAACACCATAGTAGGAAAAGCAGTTTTACCATAGAGGTAACTCTAAGACTAGAAGGTCCCGAAATAAAGTGCTCAACTTTTTGGCTCAGTTCTGGTACCACAAACGAAGTGACAGACGG